CTCCTTTTAAGGTTTAGGAGTTTAGGAGTTTAGGGTTTAGGGTTTAGGGTTCAGGGTTTGAGGGTTTAGGGTTTAGGGTTTAGGAGTTTAGGGTTTAGGGGTTGAGGGGTTGAGGGGTTTAGGGGGGTTTACAAGGGTTTAGGGGTTTCGAGCTACTTTTGTTTTTTTTTTGGGGGGTGGGTGCCTTTAAGGATATTTCTACAAGGGTTCCTTTGAGGCTTTAAGGATTCCTTTGAGACTTCCGGTGTGGGTTTAGGATGAGAACCTGTGGCCTCATGGGACTACAATGGGCTTTTGATAGCGTTTGAGTGATTCTTGTCGGGTTGTTGTTGTTGTTGGTAGGGTGTGCCCGAAACCCTAAACCCTAAAACCCTAAACCCTAAACCCTAAACCCTAAACCCTGAACTCTAAACCCTAAACCCCTAAACCCCTAAACCCCTAAACCCTAGGCTTCCTAGGGCTGTATAGGGTCGTGTACGTGGTTCCTCTACGAGGTTGGCCTCCCCAATCTGCCCCCGAAACTCACGGCCTTCGTGGTCCCCAAACCCCAAACCCTAAACCCTAAACGAAGTGTGAATGGGTTTAGGGTTTAGGGTGTAGGGTTTTGGGTTTAGGGTTTAGGTTGGTGGCTTATCAGATAGACTCATAGGGGTTTCAGGGTTAGGTGAGGGTTTAAGCTGTCGGCTTAAAGCTGGTCTGGTGTTTGTTATTCTCAAGGATTAGAGTTTGGCCACGAAACGGATCGGGCGAGATCAACCTATACGTGGTCACATCCAAACATTCGATGGGGCCGACTCGCTTTTCGTTGTCACTTTGCAACCCTAAACCAAAAATCCTGAACCACACAAAAGCCGTTGTAGACGTAGCGCAAGCTTTAACCCAAAGATCAACTTCCAGAATCTCAGACGGATGTAGCACCCAATAACACAAATCTCGCTCACTCGAACCATCAGCTGCAAACAACATGTGGGTGGTTGTCAAAATTAGGGTCCCTTTTTGGGGTCCTTATTATAATACGGCACCTATTTTTTTAGGGTACCCCAAAAGGGACCATAATTTTTGACAACTACCCATGTGATGAGTTCCCGACTTCCAAACCTTGATACTAGTCCAGGGTTTAGGGTTTACAGGGTTTCGGGTTTCGGGTCTCATCGGCCCCATAAACCCTAAGCCCCTAAACTGAACCCCCAAAGCCCATAAACCCCTAAAGCCGAATGTCCGTAACTTCGCTTCACAGCCCAAGCCACGGCCTCGTCCGAAATCGTGCACCCAGGGATTTCACGAGGCGTGTGCGCTCGATCACTAGGGGCCTTAATGATTAGAATACTTATAATTTCTGATAGGCTTCTTTCAAAGGGCCTTCTGTTAAGGGTTCTAGAAGGTCAGTATAGGCGGGTTCTATGATACGTGGCGAGTGCAATTAGAATATGGTCTTTTGTTATCTGCAGTTGATTAGTGCATTATTGTTTTGTGTGTTTATCTTTTCAGGTCTCCTTTTTTAAACCGACTGCTAGGAAAAAAGGTACCCTTATTCTTGAGCGGCTGATGGGGAGCCTTGCGTTTCTCTTTTGATCCCACGAACAGCATGGCGAATATCCATTTACATGAAGCCGCACAGCTTTAAAGAACAACGATTCCAGAAAGGGTTTGGCGTTTAGGGGTGTAAGCTTTAGCTGGGGTTTTACGAACTGCATGAACAACCCTAAACCCTAAAACCCTTAAAGCCCCAAACCTAAACAGTAATCGCCCAGAAGCCTACCTTTTATTAGGACTTGTTTGATGGAATCCATAGTCGCGAGATCCAAGCAGGTATGTCCTTTGGGGTTCAAATGCATCCTCAAGCCCTGGGACTTATGAACCCTAAATTCCTAAAGCCCTAGTTGGTGTTTAGGATGTAGGGGTTAGAGTTTAGGGATGTACATACTAAAGACCTAAACCCTACACCCTAAACCCTAAACCCCAAACCCTAAACCCTGACTCTGAAACAGTGAAACCCAATCCCTGAGCCCCTTGAAGCAAGGATGGTTCTGAAGAGCTGGCCCTTCGGCGAAGTAAGGGTTTAGTGTTCAGGGTTTAGGGTTGGGTCTGCAGGATTCGGCAGTTTAGATTTTTTGGTTGCTCAGTGAGGTTTTGCGGTTCTGTTTATGGGTCAAACTTCGGGTTTAGGATTCGGGGTTCAGATTTATGGCCACAATGCTTAAATAACTACCAACAGAACTGTTTGGGTTCCTTATTATAATTATGCCATAAAGGAGCCCAAACCCCCTAAACCCTAAACCCTAAACCCTAAACCCTAAACCCTAAACCCTAAACCCTAAACCCTAGTCTGATTACTAAGGCCCTTACATTAGGATCTTTGAGCGAGGGCTTCAGAGGGATTCCGGATTCGTTCGGTGCCTCAGCTTGACTTAGGCGTGGCCTGATTTCAATCTTTCTGGCCTCTGCTTGTGGGGCTACAGCCCAGGGTGAACCCCAGAAAGTTGGAACATGGATTAAGGATGATGGGTGCCAGGCTTCCCTCTACTTTACCCGAGGATGATGTTCCAACTTCCTGGCACCTACCGTCGTACCACAAGGCTTTGGCTAAGGTAGGCTTGGGAGTTCCTGCCAGAGTTTGTGGCTGTATGCCATGCTTTCGGGAAGAGTTTCGATTCCGAAAGCCTAAGCCCTAAACCCTAAACCCCCCTAAACCCCACGCTGGAAGCCCCTACCAAACCCTACTAAACCCCCAAACCCTAAGATGGAAGCCCCTAAACCTAAACCCCTACAGCCTAAAATGGAAGGTTTAAGCCCTAAACCCCTAGACCCTAAAATGAAAGGCCCTGAACCCTAAACCCCTAAACCTTAAAATGGATGCGCCTGAACCCTAAATCCCTAAACCCTGCAGCCGAAACCCTAACCTATGGGTTTGTTGCTTCCTGCGCTTGGGTGGACGGGGCTCGAGGTCAAAACTCCAGAGATCCAATGGTTTCTCCAGTTCATTCGGCCCCATTCTCAGAACTACACAGGATCTTATATGGTTTATGAACCCTAAACCTTAAACCCTGAAAAGAAAGAATTATCGGGCTCCAGGTTGATACTGGCTACAATTTGGGTTGGCAGGCCTGGAACAGAACCCGAAATTCTGTAGACGGAGCACGCTGCTTGTTGGCCTCATTCTCCGATTCAGGAGCTTAAACCAAGCCCGACTTCCTAGGTTAAGGTTTAGGGTTTAGAGTTGCAACACCCCTTCCCCCCCAGCCACCCTCACGCCAAACCACTAATCTAGCCGGCCTTGATAATTACCTATATGATTTTTGGGGCTCGTCGTTACAATTATAGCATAATATGATATACGCCAAAACCCTATTCTAATTATTAAGGCCCCTACATTAGACCCTCAACCCCACGTCCTGATAATCCGAATGAGCTCGGGAAGCCCACCCAAGGAAGTTTTGCGGCAGCTGGAGTTCGACCACCACCGGATGAGCCTGTGAATGCAATGGTCGGTCGAAGGTTACCCTAAACCCTAAACCCTAAACCGTGTCCAGTAGTTAGGAATCCCTCCCGAAGGAGCCTAGAGCATGGGCTCAGGAATTAGTCTAAGTCGTTCTTAAGCTATACCCTAAACCCTGAACCCCAGCAAGGGGCGTTGGAGTTACTGGCCAGCTCTTGCAGACAACCCTAAACCCCAAACCCTAAACCCCAAACCCTAAACCCTAAACCCCAAACCCTAAACCCCAAACCCCAAACCCTAAACCCAAAACCCTAGAGGGGGTTCTGAAACTCTCAACTCCTCGACCCTGCATTGCCAAAGCCTCCTCAATGCGAACCGACCTGAAAGGCTGGAGAAGCCTAGTGCTAGGCATCTAACTTATATCCCCTTCGGGGTTTAGGGATTAGGTTTGGAGTTTTGGGTTTAGGGATTAGGTTTGGGGTTTAGGGTTTAGGGTTTAGGGTTTAGGTTTGGGGTTTAGGGTTTAGGGATTGGGGTTGAGGTTAGTTTCGGGTTCTATCAGGGTGCAGGTGCGGGTGCAGGTATAGAAGAGATGTGGGTAGTTGTCAAAATGATGGTCCTTTTTGGGGTACCCTAAATAATAGGTGCCGTATTATAATAAGGACCCAAAAAAGGGACCATAATTTTGACAACCACCCATGTGCCACAAGACCGTGAACTGGATGCCCAGCTGTGTCTGTGTTGGGTTTCAACTTGCCTTTGCCCGGTGAACCCTTCTAGCCAATCGAATTCCGCCGTGAGACCTAAACCAGCTCCCCAAATCCCCAACATCCCTAAACCCTCAACGCTAAACCCCAAACCACCAAACCCCAAACCCCGTTAAACCCTAATTCCTAAAGCCCCAAAGCATGTTAAAGCCCTAAACCCCAAACCTCCTAACCGCCTAAAGTCCTAAAGCCCCCAAGCCCTCTGAACACCAATGAAATCCTAAACCCTAAACCCTAAACCCTAAACCCTAAACCGTATCCAGAGGACCAGTGGTGCGGTGGTCCGTTGTCGAAAGTCAGGCCGTGCCTTGGCTGAAGGCCCAAAAGGCGACTATGCACTGTAGATTGGGGCAACAAAAGAAAGTACTTTGAGTTTCCCAGAGACTCCAATACCCCTTAATTAAGGAATATACCTTAAATCTCATTAGGGATCCTACTATAATTTAAGGTCTATTCCTTAATTCAGGGGTATTGGAGTCTCTGGTTTTTTTAGGGTTTAGGGTTTAGGGATATCCGTTCTAGCATATGAATTTGTTTCCTTTTCTTGAAAAGCACGAGAACAACACGTAGTGCAACTCAGTGACAGGTGCCGCGTATAAAGTGAAAATCTTCGGTGTGGTAGCATGCAACCATTATGGGTGTACATGCAAAAGAATAGCGAGTATAATCCTCTTGGTAGCTTCTGCAAATGTGTTGCCTATGCCACGAACCCTAAACCCTAAACAGGTAAGATACCGAGTCAGTAAACAATGTACGTAGGAAGGACAAATCAGGCTTGCCTGGGTACTCGATGGGCATCGGTAGTGGTAGGCATGTCAATCATAAAAGGGTTACAGTTAAAAGGACAAACAAGTACATGACCACATATGCAAACAATGTAAGCATCTATGAACGTACATGCATGGTCGGTATGTACATACACACACAGAGCACACAGAACGCATATATATATATATATATATCAAAAGCGAGCGGCATATCGCTGCCTTAACGAGCTTGTTAAAGAAAACATGTTGGACTCTTTCGCCAGGTCTGCTCGCGTTCGTGAAGGGCGCCTATGACAAGATCTCGCAGACGCCTGCTGCAAATGAATCCATATTGTTGTTTTTGCCGGTGGATTCCCTGAACCTCAAACCTTCAATCCTGAATACGCAAAGCCCTGATCAACCCAAAATCGAAACACCCTCCTGATACCCTCCTCTAGATCAGTGCTGGATTCGGGCACCTCTGTCTGACGCCAACGGAAGGCTCACAACTTTGGCACGTAATAGGCATCTCAACTCCCAATATTGACGGAGTGGGGTTGAGGTTTCTGTGCTTGGGGTGTAAACATGTTGGGTCAAAGTTTTAGGGAAGCTCAGAGCGCAGGGCCCTGAATCTTCAACCACTCAAGGATGCAGAGGACCCTACCACGGGCTTAGACGGCTCAGCATGCAGCTATGCTTAACGTAGTCTCGGCGTGTTGTTCGGTTGCACGGCTCCTAAACATTCTTCAACACGTGTTGACCCAGGATCGCGCAGGAGCCGAGCGTTCCGCCTGAGTTTGGCGATGTCTGTGGGTGCCCTAGCATCTTCGTGAAGCAATTGCCGCAGACGACGTTCACTTTGTGGCAGATTTCTCTTCCAGACCCGCAGTACCACGGATAGGATAGCAACTGTTTCTGATCCTGACGAGAGCCATGTCATGTTCGTAAGTAGAGCATTCTTAAAATTCCTCCCGTCATCCTCGTAGTGAGCGCCGTTGCAACGGCAGGGACAACAAGCAGCAGCCAGATGGGTAGTACTAGGCTAGCACCAACCGTAATTCTAGTAGCACAAGCATTATCGGAAATAATACAACGGGACAAGTGTCATAGTATCAGTAGAAGTTCGTAGTCGTAGGGTGGGTAACCTTTAACCTTGAACGTTGTTCAGGGGCAGTATGCTCCCAACGCTGCCCTAGGATACTCGACATGTAAGCAAGCAGAAGCAACAAGCAGTAGTTTTGTCAATACAAGGGCTGGTAGGCTTGAGATTTGGAACTAGCAACCAGCGCAGGTTCAGCAAAAGGACCAGCATAGAGCACATTAGATCTGTATCAATGTTGCTTGCAGTAGCAGTGCGAGTTAGCCGCATTCTCACGAGTAGTAATAACAATCGCAATAATGCTGGCGATCATAACTGCTAGTCATGTCAAGCACAAGAAGAAGTCCCACATAATTGCAACGTTTGGAACAATATCGCATTTTTTCGGCTGTGGCTTCACCCAAAACCTTGACGGAAGTCCCGAAAAACAACGTCAATGCTTACGGATAAGTCCGAGGAATATAATAATTCGAAAATGTCACAGAGTGCAACGAAAATGAAGCAAACCCTGGAAGCTGAAATACCGTAGGCGTTCGACCCGGAACCCTGATGCCGGAACACAGCCTCATAATAAGCCCGTTATTTGCCTTCAAAGCGAGAGCCAAACCCTGAAGGCCTAACTCCCAAGCCCCGAGCCGGATCACACATCCGGCAAAGGCGAGGGTTACGCCTCCCAGTGCTTCTACGTGCTGGCAATGAGCTGGAAAGAGCTTTTGGCGTGCATGTTGGCATGTTGAGGTTCCGAAACCCGAATCCCAAAACCTGAAACCCTAATCCCTTAGCCCAAGCCCCCAAACTCCAAATACAAATCGCCATGCCTCCGAGCTTCAAACTCAAACCGGAAACCCTAAAACCCTAACTAGGCCTCAACCCCGAATCCTACGAAGCCGAAAGCACCGGGCTCAAAGAGTTAAGGGTCTTAAGGCTTAGGGATTTGGGTGTTAAGGTTATGTCGTGTTCAGGGTTTTAGGGTTTAGGGTTTGGGGGCCCTGGGCCTTAATTGGAATAGGGTTTAGGGTTTAGGGTTTAGGGTTTAGGGTTTAGGGTTTAGGGTTTAGGGGGGGCATATCATTGCAGACTATCTCGCATAAGCAAACACTTTCCACTAATGATGTATTCAGACAATCTCATACCCCCAGAGTAGGTTTGCATGTTGGTCCCGTTAGCCCTTAAACCTAAACCCTAAACCCTGTTCCTAGACCCTAAACCCTCAACTCTATACCTAAACCTTATAAGCCCTAAACCCCAGTCCTAAACCCTAAAGACCTTAGGATGTAGGAGCGCAGGGTTCCGAGATGCTCAGGGCTGTAAGTTTGGGCCTGGCTCTTCCTGGCTGAGTTGCCCGGCGCGATCACGCCCTGCGCGGAGAGGTAGGGTTCATGATATAAAATCCTGCATTACCCATAACGGTTTAGGGTTTAGGGTGTAGGGTTTAGGTAATCAGGAATATACCATAATTCCCATAATTCAGGGTCCTTAAGGTGCTTGGGTTCATGGGTAGCTATAAGAGGAGGCATAAGTCCCCTAATATGGGTTATAACTACAGTTACCCTACTCATAACCCCACATCTAACCACCCATGAACCTGCAAGTAGGGTTTAACCCTAAACCCTAAACACTAAACCCTAAACCGTAAACCCTAAACACTAAACCCTAAACCCTAAACCCTAAGGGTTCCATGGTTTCAGGGTCCTTAAGGGAACGCAGGATTTCTATCATCAACCTGTCATGAACGAGAAGACTCGGAGCCGGAGCCAATGGTTAGGACGGGAGAAATGCGACCCTGCAGGGACAGTGCACTGCCAACGAGAAGCTCTTGGACTCTTGGACCAGTGGAAGGCCGAAGCTCAGAATCTCCGCCAGGAGAATGAAGCCTTGCAGGGACTGTGCAATGTCAACGAGAAGCTCCAGGACCAGTGGAAGGCCGAGGCTCAGAAGCTCCGCCAGGAGAATGAAACCTTGCAGGCCAAGTACAATGCCAACGAGAGTGACTTCCAAGGCTATGCGCACTGGGCAATGGATGAGATGGCTGCACTCCAAGACAAACTGCACGGAAAGAAAGACCAGATCCAAGGCTATGTGCACTGGGCAATGGATGAGATGGCTGCACTCCAAGACAAGCTGCACGGCAAGAACGAGGAGATCCGGCCACTCCAAGACCAGCTGCACGGAAAGAGCGACGAGATCCGGGCACTCCAAGACAAGCTACAGGGAAAGAGCGACGAGATCCGGGCCCTAGTAAGAGAGCTGGAAGACAACGACCACGTGACGCAGCTCTACAAACAGAAGAAGCAAGATGAGCTCGAGGCGAAAACCGCCGAGGTGCGTTCCCTCGCCAACGAACTGGACGACCTGGGCTCCTAGCACGAGGCCTACAAAGCAGAGAAGGAGGAGGAGATCCGGAATGAATGTGAGTGGAGCTGGTGGTACAGGCAGCAGTGGGAGGCGCTACACAAGAGGATGGCTGAGGAAGGTGAGACGGACAACCGGGCAGCGAAGTCTCACCGAACCGCCTGAGTGCCCTGAGTGCTGCAGACACAGCAACAGATCAGCTGACTGCAAGCCCCAAGCCTGCCCCCAAAAACCCTGAAACTCAAGGCCTTCCGAGGCCAGCAGCCACTGGCCATCGAGAGGCCACGCAGGCACGACGAGGCCTGCCCAGAGAGTCTCTATGATTGAGATGCACCTCGCTACTGGGGCTTCTAGAACCGCCAGGTGCTTCCGGACAAGCTATTTTTTCAAGCCAGAATCTCGAGTCGTTAGCCTGTAGCTCCAAAGCATTGTTGCTCCGGTTCACGCCTTGCCTAGCTTCAGCTTTCGGTCTGCTTGGTTCAGCACAGTACCGAGTGTCTCTGTGTCCATGTCGACATACTGCTTGAAGACTCTGTAGCTCTCGATCTGCGCAAAGCCCATGATGAGGTTCGGTGACATGTCCGCCGAAAGGCTGAAAAAAAAATGAGTTGAAATTTCCAGCATCAGCGCTGCTGAACCCTAAATTCACAGGCCAGACCGACGACGCTGCGCAGTTGCTGAAGGCCAGCGAAAGGGTATGCAACAGGTGCTTGAGCTGACTAAGCAGTCACATGAACATGTCCGACGTAAGTTCATGGTGTTTCTGTTGAAGCTCTCCACAGTATTCCACGCATGACTTCGCCAAGCGACGGAGCTTTAAGGCTCTGGATAGATCTGTGTACGGATAGAAACCGTCCAAACTTGCAAACCGAAGCCGCAAAAGATCCTAGAAGCCTGTAGCACAAACCTGACAAGCTGCAACACCTAGAATCCCAGAAGACCGCTTGATTGCCCACAAATCGCAATTTACCTTAAACCACGAACCTCAATAAACCAGAAGCCTAGAAGCGGGATCCCGTCACCCTACCTACATCCACCAAAACCTTGTTTAAAGCAGGTTATGCTCAAAAACACGGTTATTGAAAAGGAAACCTGGTTTCTGGAAGACAGTCAGGAACCTGGTTATCCACGTCTGGCTTATGCGGGTTTCGCACGGGTGTTTACGGTTTTCGTGCGGGTTGTTCACGGGTTTTTGGACGGGTTTGAAATTGAGAACCTTGTTTTGCGACTAGGAACCAGGTTTTTAGCAAGAATTGCCTAAAGCCCAGGTTCTTGCAACTCTACCTGCCCTAAACACAGTTTTGGGAGACGTAGGTTGCCGCCATGGCCGCGCCGCCGCCGGCATTAATATTTCCCGCAACCTGGCTGTCGCCCCAGCAGGCGGCGCGGCAACACGAGCGGACACTGCGGCTGCAGCAGCAAGAGCTGCTGCAGCAACAGTTAACGCAACCCATCGTAGCTGAGTCTTGGCCAACTGTGTCACGACGCCAATCAATGCCACTTTGAAATCCACCTCAGCTGTACAACTAAGGACCAGCTAGGCAACCTCTGGCTTCAGCCGATGGCTCCTCGACTCAACTGCATGCTGTCCATGATATGTGTGTTTGTTTTGCAGTGCACCGCGATATTCACCGACTTTGTCTATCGGCGCATCTCTTTGCTATCTAAGGGCACACCACCTGCTGCACCGCCCCTTGTCACAACATGTGTGGGCGCAGACCTTCATGTGGATTCCAGTTAGCGCTACTTCCCTGAAAGATTCCAAGGTTGACCCAGTTCCAGAGAATTGTTCTGGGTGGCGGATGAGGTGCATTGTACCTTGCCTTGTCGTGCATTCTGTTTCGAGTGGCCGAGACGTCGCTTCAGGCTCAACTGTTGGTGTTCTCATTTGCTGAAGTTTTGGTTTCATTTGGTGAAGGGTGCTGTTTTCACGTGACAGGTGAAGTCTTCAGAGATGGTGCAATGCTCAGTTTCCTCTGAGAGGCAAGAGTTTTTGTGCATTTCAGTATGAGCCTGAGCTTCCTGAGGAAGCGGCAGTCGCAGCCGCGCACCAGGCCGGTTTTAATTTTGGCTACACGTCGGCACTGTCAGTGGCTTCAGCTGCCGAGCCCCCGGCAAAGACCTTCATGGCGATGGGGGGCAGATTCAATTCCCCAATAAGGTCACGGCTTCTGGTGGCAAAGGGGACACAGCTGGTCCCTCTGTCCATTAGGTTGGAGCTTGTAAGTTTATGACACTATTATTAATGTTAACATGTGCTTCTGTACTCAGGGAAAAGGCTTGGCGTCACCACCACCACCCCATGCCGGGCACCCACATCCGCTGCACATCCGCTGTTGTCCAACGCCAGATCTGTGTGAGCTTTCGAACAACCAATCCCCAACAAGGTCCCTGTTGGTGGCAAAGGAGCAAGAATGGGCAAAGGTTGTCCCTCAGTTTGTTAGGCTGGAGCCTGTGATTTCATGGCACTAATACGTTAACATGGGCTTCTGTACTCAGGGAAAAGGTTTGGCGCCACCACCACAACCCCATGAGCCTCCCCCGGATGCCGGGCACCCACATCTGCTGTTGTCTAAGGCCAAATCTGTGTGAGCATTCGAACAACCAGTCGCCAACAAGTGCCCAGCTGCGAGGGACCCAGAAATCGGGATGTTGACAAAATAGAAACGGATCTTGTGTTGCGAGAGTTGCATTTACCACGGCTAAGGGCAAAGGCAGGGACGATGGCGGGTCCCAGATCTGATGATAAATCTAAATTTGTGCAGCAAACTTGCATAGGCCACGAAGGGTAACGATCCAGCAGTGGGCTCAGCGACAAAGAGAGGCAAAGACATGGAAGGAGATCATATAATAATACATTGTCCTTGCCCAGAACAAAGGCAAGGGCAAGTGGCATCCTGCTGCCCCGGACTCAGAATTGCCCAAGGCACACGTGAGGAAGTTACGTTGGCATGCCAATCCTGCGAAGGATGTGAAGGGCAAGAAGGGGCCCATGCCGGCGGTGACCTCAGACACACAATAACGGAAGAGTGTATGGCACTCTTGCGAAGGACACGAAAGGAACCAAAGGTCCCGATCCCCCGGTGGGGAGCTCGACACAGACAGCGCGAAGCTGATACAAGCGTAGAGTCATCAGAATTCGGGATGTTGACAAACGAGGAAGCTAAGTTTGTGTGGCAAAAGTTGCATTCCCAAGACTAAGGGCAAAGACAAGGGCGATGGGCCTCCCGTCCGGGTCCGGTCCCAGATCTGATGATGAATGTAAGTTCGCGTAGCAAGCTTGCACAGGCCAGGAAGGGTGACGATCCAGCGATGGGCTCAGAGACAGAAAGACAAGCCTGGCAAGGAGATCCTACAATAATATGTTGTCCTTGCCCAGGGCAAAGGCAAGGCCAAGGGCGATGCAGCTGTCACGGGCTCAGAGTTGACCAAGGCACACGTCAGGAAGTTAAATTGGCATGCCAATCTTGCGAAGGATGTGAAGGACAAGAAGGGGCCTGTGCCGGTGGTGACCTCAGACACACAGCAATTGAATAAGTTCTTGTTAATTTCGTATGGCAAACTTGCGAAGGTCTCGAAAGGAACCAAAGGTCCGGATCCCCCGGTGGAGAGCTCGACACAGACAGGGCGAGACTGGTACACACGTGGAGTAATCAGAACTCGGGATGTTGACAAACGAGGAAGCTAAGTTTCTGTGGCAAAAGTTGCATTTTCCAAGGCTAAGGGCAAAGGCAAAAACGATGGGGCGCCTGTCCGACTCCCAGATCTGATGATGAACTTAAGTTTCTGTAGCCAACTTGCATAGGCCACCAAGGGTGACCAGCTATGGGCTCAGAGACAGAGAGACAAGCAGTCAAGCAAAGACATGGAAGGAGATCCTATAATGATACGTTGTCCTTGCCCAGGTCAAAGGCAAGGCCAAAGGGGGATGCAGCTGTCACGGGCTCAGAGTTGACCAAGGCACACGTCAGGAAGTTAAATTGGCATGCCAATCTTGCGAAGGATGTGAAGGGCAAGAAGGGGCCTGTGCCGGTGGCGACCTCAGACACACAGTAATGAAAGGAGTTCTTGTGACTTTTGTATGGCAATCATGCGAAGGACTCGAAAAGCACCAAAGGTGCCGAGGCCCCGGTGGAGAGCTCGACACGGAGAGCACAAGACTGCTACACATGGACTAATTTCTCAGAATTGTGTTCTTGCTAAGGGCAAGAGCAAGGAGGGTGCTGCTGCCACCATCTCGGAAAGGCTGACCATGGCATGGTACCCTTTAAGAGATCCTTTAAGGGCCACCCTAGGGATTCCATAAGGGCTTTAGGGTTTAGGGTTTAGGGTTTAGGGAATCTGTGTTTTGGAGTGCTATGCTTTAATACTTTTTTTGCGGGACTTGTTCCTTAAAGGAACCATTATGAAATAAAAGTCTATATTTTTTCTCCCTGGTTACTTCAAAGCCCAGGAATGGGAGTTTAGGGTTTAGGGTTTAGGGAATGGGGGTTTAGGGTTTAGGGAATGGGGGTTTAGGGTTTAGGGTTCAGGGAATGGGGGTTTAGGGTTTAGGGTTTACGGAATGGGGGTTTAAGGTTTAGGGAATCTGGGAATTGATCCGTCCCTTGTAGTAGTCCATATAACCCATTCCCCCATTCCCTATCAAGCACCAGACAGAAGAATGGCCCGATATTCCGCTCGTCCTCTGGGGCTCCTCTAAGGCTGTGGGCGTGTAGTCGATTTAGGGTTCGGGGGTTTAGGGTTTAGGGTTTCGGGCTTAGGGTTCAGGGTTTAGGACTTAGGGTTTTTGGGTTTAGGGGTTTAGGTTTTAGGGTTTAGGGGTTCAGGGTTGAGTAATTCAAGGTCTTGGGGTTAGTGTTCTGCTGCCGAGTATCGGGCTTAGCTTCTTTGGGGTACGTCTGCTTCGAAGCCTAGAAGCTTTCCTTTCACACCCAGAAGCCTTCACCCCAATGCCATGGCTAAACCGTACGATCCCACGAGCCTTACTATAGGAGCCGAAACAATCAACAATACTATTCTTAGGGTTCCTTATTATATAAGTTATACCATAAAGGAGCCCAAAACCCTATTCGAAGTATTAAGGCCCTTACATTAACCCGGAGCTTCGAAACACCTCAACAGCTATAGCTCGAAGTCTCAAACCACGTAGGACGGCGTAGACT